GAATGGGGAACACATATATCCTAACAATCCATCCCTCAACCTAGACTACGTATAAGATCCAAATCTGCTACACTGTTTTTTCTTGCTTTCCTTCATTTTCCAAAAATGTAGAAAAAGCAATCTTAATTTCTGCTAACACACGTTTTAGAAAAGTTCAAAGAAGAATTCAGTTTCAATTCACAGCAAATCTGTCTTCTTTTGAAATAAACAATTTAAACATAATATCCTTATTGGAGTTTTGATGAGCCAACATGAAACTTCTAACAAGTACATATCTAACCGAAAACCAGAAATACCATTCTCTCACTATGCCAGAGCTAAGCTCTGCAAAGCTTATGGTTAGCTTTGCAAGGCTGAAATTATTACAATTGTATTCAAAAGGCAGAAAGGTTTTAAATGGAAATGGTAGCTGAACACATCTGAAAGATATACTAGAAGTTTCTTTTTTGGACTGCAGCTTACCAGGGATACAGTTTGTGGTCTTTTTTAAACTTGCCACTTGCAAAATAATCATAGCTGTTTAGCAAGCATGATTGCCATGAGTGTTCTGGAATTAGAATCAATAGGATTTACTGAGCCATTTATTTATAGTTACCCAGTATCAAAACTTTCAGAGCAACTCATATAGAATAAAACAAGGAATTGTGCTCCTGAAAAGTTCACTTGAATGAAAGACAGTAGGTTGACTATTACAGATTGTCAACTAAAAATTTAAAAAGTCAAATCAGTACCTATTTAACTAGTGGCACCTGAAGAGGAGAAAAGATGTATTTATTGCTATAAATTTTATAGATATAGGTATAGGTATAGATAGATAGTTACAGATAGATAGTTTGGATCAGACAATCACTGCTGCCATCTTTTTTTGATCGTCCCCTTGCAGACACTGTTAATTATAAGCAATACTATAAACATGTCGAAGAGACATGATCTCTAGCCAGGCTGAAAAATATGCCACCAAACAGGCTTGTGTGGCTTGCCAACGAGTTGGTTTTGTTTTTATTTTTTAAATAAACCACTGACTATGAATGTCACCACTAGGAGAAATAATCTGTTGTCTCCAACTAGATTTTTGCAGACTATGACCCTAAAAACATACTGTCAAGCAGCTCCAAAACCTCTATTGACACGGATAGCTAGGCAGTGCTAACTGCTTTTCCAAAATATAGGTAGTCCTCAACTTATGGCCACAATTGAGCCCAAATTTTATGTTGTTAAGGGAAAAATTTGTTAAGTGACTTTTGCCCCATTTTGTGACTTTTCTCATCACATTTGTTAAGTGAATCACTGTGGTTCCTAACAAAGCTGTTAAGTGAACCCGGTTTCCCCATTGCTTTTGCTTGTCAGAAGGTCACAAAAGGGGATCACATGACTTTGCACACTGCAACCATCATAAATATGAGTCAGTAGTCAAGCATCTGAATGTAAATTTCATGACCATGGGGATGCTGCAATGGTCATATATGTGAAAAATGGCCATAAGTCACTTTTTTCAGTGCTGTTGTAATTTTGAATTCTCAATGAACTGTTGTAAGTCAAGGACTACCTGTAGAAACAGAAAAGGTTCACAAATACCTTAATGACTCTGATGCTACACTGGAAAAAAACCTATACTTCAATGTATGGAACAGAAAAGGTGAAAACCTACCATATATGCATTGTCTTCCTACCTCATACAGAGAGGCTATTGGCAGGTTCTGGAAAAGTCAAATATAATATGCAGCCTCAATATAAATTAAAATTAATAGCAAGTTTGAGGTTTTCCATTTCCTGGTAGACATGAAAATAATGCTTGCGTGTAAAGCTGGCTTTGTTTAGCCGGGCTTCAGATTTACAGAATCAAGGCCATCACCCATGCCAGAAAGACAAAGGTAAATGATGAAAATGGCATGTTTCCAAGCAAAGTGCCTCAATGTAATGTAATGCATGATACCATTTCATACTTCCATTCTAAATGATAAAAAGTAAACTTCAGCTGATCTAAAAAAAATTCCAAAGTGCTTTCATTGGAGCAGAATGATTTTATTTCTCAAACATCAGGAATACATTTATTTTGTATTCCATAGTTAGCCTGAACTATACAGAGAAGAGAATGCAATTGATCAGTTTTATGAGCAGGTCTCTTCATATTGATCCTTGTCAAAACAAAGTAAAGGGCTCAATAAAATTCTAGCTAACAGGCAACCATAGGAAACATGCTTAATTTTGCTCAAATGAAACATAATATCAACCCAAGGAAGCACAAATCAATGAATTATGTTGTGTGCTGTTAAAAAAAATAATGGAGAACCTTTGGGGCTTGGCATGTCAAGAATTCCGAAAATGCCTAACTTTACTCTGCTGGTGTGTTATTCCCCCCTCACCTGAACAAAAGAGAAACAATTCTCTGTCCCACACACCCCATTCCATCTAGGACATCTGAGTAGCAGCACTCAGTGGCAGCCCGAGACTGGGCCTGAAATAGAGGCCGGACCTCGACTTTGATTCTAACATCACCGCTGGCACTCAAAAGGGTTGCCTTGCAGTCCCAGGATCTGCCACACACTGCTTATGTCCCCACACTGCTTATGTTCAGATGCTTATGCTCTCTTTCTGTTGATAGGCCTCTGCAGCCTAATCAATGTTGCTCCAAGTCGCATGTGGCCTTCATTCTTGAAGTGGCTTTGGAGAATGCTCTTCCATGACCTCTGCAACCTCTGAAAAACACACAAAAGTACGCCCCATTCTTGCATTATTTTCAGAGGCTCCAGAAGCCGTATGAAAGCACACCCCGTTCTTCTGCAACCTCCACACACGCACCCCAAATCATGCAAGAATGGGGCATGTTTTTGAGAATAGTTGCTATTGGGTATTGTGAATGTTGGAGTGTTACCCAAAATATTGTGACCAACAAGGTTTTGAAATAATGTATTCAGACTCCAAAATGGATAATCACTAGTATCCAAATAGAAAAAGAAAAATAACTGAGAATAATTAGATACTGCAATTTCAGTATCAACAGTCTACTCTCTTAAAAAACCCCAAACACCATATGTGGAAACATTACTATCAAGGGAGACCTGCTGTTTGCTTTCTTTTTTCATAACATTGCTAAAGTATTTTAATTGGGAAGAAACAGGAATGAATCAATATTTTTAATACACAGAAACTAAAAGTGTCAAATAGTCGATCTCAACAGGGGCTGGACCTTTGAATACTATAAAATACCAGACAACTGGATTAAACTGCCTTTGATCTATTTCTTCATCATCTTTGCAATTTTAACTCATAATTGTAAGCAGACTTTTATTACTATAGTTTACTATAGAATACCAAGGATAAAGCATTAATTAATGCTTTTTGCTGGTATTTGCTGCACTCAGAAGTTACAGGAGTTTATAGGAAAAATAAAAAAGAAGGAAAATGCCATTCCCTTTCTGCTTTTTGGAAAAACAAACGACACCCTAAATCTGGTGTCTGATGATCAGTCTGGAGAAGATTAAGTTTTCAAGACATGTACCAGATTATAAACACAAAACGTAAATTGGCCTCCCAAAATAATTGTTTAAAATAGTGTTTAGAATCTTATTATGAACATATTACAGTAAACACAGATGAATGTTAGATGTAAAGAAAAAGGATTAGGCCTCAACAGAAAAAGTGTGGACAAAAGAGGAATAGGAAAACACTTCTGTACTGTAAAATGGGAATTAGACCTCAGAGAAAAGTAAGTTTTGAAACCAGGTAAAGCTTGAGCATGTACAAATTAAAATGCTAGTTGAATTCCTATTCTGCATAGCCACTGCACTCATTAGTCTGGATAGGTTAAATTCTTTCCTGCTTCGTCAAAGACTGCACCCAGGTTTTGTTAAATTTCTTTCTTCACAGTTACAGTAGGTGCTGTTGACCTTTTCCCCAAATGTAATTAAATATTTTTCTACTTTACAATACTTGCTATGAATTTATGCCATTTTCTAAAGCTCCATCATTCTTTTTCATCCAAAGTGCTTTACAAGCTTTTTATATATTTAGGAAAGAATAAAGCTTTTCTTTCTGAAGTATTCTTACTAGATATTTCTAAAATGAGAACATAAGGTCTTCACAATATTATCCTTATTTTCTGTCTTGAAATGTCAAGGAGTTTATTCTTTCTGATTACATAAATTCTAGTGGAAAAAGTTCTTTGAAGAAAATTTATTGTCTAGCCATTATTTCTAAAAATAGTTTTAATTCAAGAATACTTCAATATTCTTAGTATTTATATTATGTAATGAAGGCAATATTAACAGCCAAAAATCTATCTTAACATTCATCTATGGCTTCCGGATAACTGAGAAAAAATGAGAAAACTATAAACATCTTGTTAATATCTGATCGTACATAAACAAATCCAGAAAAAGCACAACGTTTTTGTTTATCGAGAAGTGACATTTGCTACCACAATCCTAATTAGCACTTTGGAAATAAGATATTAAAATTTACATGGTTAAGGCCAAAATAATTGTGTTGTCTTAAAATCTCTCATGCATAAATGAAAAAGGAAAAATAGATAATCTAAAATTAAATAGAACAAAAACTATGCCTTGCAAAAAGGACAGAATCAAGACAGAATAAAAATGAAATTTACATTAACTGAATTAATAATGATTAATTCACAATAAAAGAATCCGTTTAATGTAATGGTTAAGGTACTATGGTAGAAATGTATGTTCTGTCTATAGGCATGAAGCCAGCTAGGTGATTTTGGGTCAGTCATTTTCTTAAAGCCCTAAAAAAAAAGGCAATGGCAAACAAATTTTCTTGCCAAGAAAACTGCAGCACATAGTTCTGGAAGTTGCCAGGAGTCAACACTAAACCAATATATAATGATAATAATATCAACAACATCACCTTTAATGCCTTTCTCTTACTCTTGCACACAGATGACTTTCATATATAAAATACATAGACACACACTTTCTCCACTCTCTTCAGAATACCAGAGAACAGACTGTATTATTGTATAGTATAGCTCTGCTTACCTGTCCTTCAAATTTTGCTGTGCCTCCAAATGGCACCTGGATATTTCGCGGAGGTAGAATAAATGCTGGTGCTTCTGTTGCAGTGGGAGTTCTTAGAGAAGAATGGTTCAAAGTCAAGGTGGCTTTGGAGATCTGAGTCGATACCAGCTTGACATCCCCCATATTAAGACCTTCAGAAATATTTAAAAAAAAGAACAAGATGCTTAAAAAAAAAGAACAAATATGAGATTAACAAGCATTATTAGAAGGACAATCCAGTTACTTAAATCTGCAAACTATTATAGATATAGTTAAAAGTATACTGCTCTAAATGTGATGGGATCAGAGAAGATACCCATGAGCATACAATATTTACAAATAAAATTCCATTTATTTAAGTGGGAACTGAAATCACTAAATTATGGTTAGATAAAGCCCAATAGTAAAATACAGGTAGTCCTTGAGACATGACCATAATGGAGCCTGCCCATTACATTTTCATATTGCAGTGGTCATTAGGTGGAGCATTTCATCTAATAAACCCTCACCCCTGCTTGCCCCAATGAATTGTTAAATTAATGCCTGGGTTGTTAAGGGGAGTTCAGGGACCTCAGGGATGGAGGAGACCCTTGGAGGCCTAGCACAAGCCAACACCTGCCTGTTCTTCTAAGGCCGCCCCTACCACTCCGAGATACCCTGTGCTCCACTTCCCACCCCTGGCTTCCCATGGGTCTTTTTCTAGCCTTAGGCCCAATTCTCATCCTACCAGGCCAAACAACTGCCTCCTCATTTATTTTTTGAAGGGCTTTGAGCCTTCCAGAATACTGGAATGAATTGCTTTTCTGTGTAGCTGCATGGTGCAGTTCCAGAAGCGGCCACCATTTTGTCCTACATACTTATAGTGGACCCATTCAGGTTTCCACTGCATGGCCCAGGGACAAACTGCTTCGTTTTGCTGCCTTAGCAAGGTCTGCATGGTACCACAAAACCTTTTTCAGATTTGTACAGACCACGTTAAGTCAGCAAAATGAAGCAGTTTGTCTGGTAGCTGCCATTTTGTCTCTGCTCACAAGTGAGTGGGAGAAAACGGCAGCCATGTTTGCGCCATCACCACACGCCCAGGGGAAAAACTGGAATCTTTCTTTTCTCCCTGTTGCACACAAAATTAGCAGTGTCTAAAATCCCAACCACAACTGCACATGTACTAACCTCACATTAATTGAATTGTTGGTTGCATTAAACTCAACCTGCTATCAATTTACAATTTGCACTAAACTGAATATTGCATTATTTGAACTTGTATTAATTGTGACCTAGCTGAATACTCTTTGATAATTCATACCCTGACATTTATTAAGAGCCCGGCAACTTTTTAAATGTTTGAGAAAATGTTCATTTACTGTAACATAAGAAGGAAAATCAGTTAACTTTTGATGACATCAAATATACTACAATTAACAGGAGGTTAAAGTTCATTATCTATCTTCCTTCATTGATACAAAATTAAATAACAGCATTCCTGTCACGACTAACACATAATTCTAGGTAACTCTCAGTTGATTAAGAGCAGGACAAATGTGTTCATTATAAGGAGTAAAGTGTTGTTTAATAGGGACATACTTCTTTAAGAATTTATTCCTTTTTAATTATCTGATAAATTAAATCTGGATTACATTAGTTGGGTCAAATGATGGGACTATCTTTTTTTTTTTAAAACAAGTTTTATTAATTTTCAAAACACACAAGTCATCATTATCCATTACATATTTAAACCTTTTTCCATTATAAATTTAACAAGTCAGATGAACTATAATTCTGTTTTAAACCATTTCCATATAAACATACAAAAACCTCTTATCCAATTTCTCTTTATTTCTCTTTACTCTTATTCAATTTTATTATTATTATTTCATCTATTTCTTTCTGACTTAATTACCATTATTCTCATTCTATATTTCTGCAAGGTTTTATTAATTCTCCCCCCCAAAAAAAACATATATACACAACACACAAAACATAAAAAAAATCTTTTTGGAAAGTAACTTGGACCCAGGTATCTCTCTCTTCATGGACTTCAACTGTATTCATGCTCATCTTACATATCATTACTTATTTTATTTACCATTCTAAGTCTTCTATATTAACTTCTCCACATATTTCACTCTTCTTAATTCTATCTTAATTAATCATCTTAATTTGAGTCATTATATTTGTATATTTTGTCCATTCTTTATTGTACCTTTGTCTCATTCCTTATAAAAAAAAAGAAATTTCTCCTGAAATCACTAATCAGAGTATGATGCCTTTCTATCTCCCCACTAAATTAATCAAGTTAATCTTTAAAATACCACCCAATACCCAATCCGATTTTGCTTGGTACATTCTATCTGAATAATACATCCAGAATAATTAAATACATAGTTAAACAATAGATCTAAATATTAAAAACAAATACTATAGTAGAAATTTTATAATAACATCAATACCATAATCTTATTAAACTCTTTAATTAAAACTCAATATTCTAAACCTCCCCTCATATTATTAAATTTTAAAACCAATCATTATTAACATTTCAACATTTTAATCTCTTATCAACTCTTAAGCCATTTAAGTTTTCTATTTCTAATACAATACTACAATATCATCTTATGTACCTTGCAAAATCTCTTTGAAGAAATTATACTTTATCCTTTATCCCTAAAAAAGATTCCTTTTTTCCCATTTAATTTCAAAACTTTGTAGCTTTTCTCCACCTTTTCCCTTTCTTTCTTCTCCCAACAAACCTTTCTACCCCCCCTTCTTCTAGCCTCTGCCTTACTGGCTTCCCTTCTCTGTCGTATTCCTTTTCCCTTTTGTTTACTATCCTTATATTGATTTTGCACCTTATTTTTCCCTTTCTTAAATGTTTTTTTAAATCTTAAGTCCTTTATTTCTCCTTCCTTTCCCTCTTCCTTCTTTCTTGGTCGAGTTCTGAGATTTATTAAAGATGGCTTCCTCTCCTTCTTCTTCTTCTGCTGTCTTCATCTGTTGTAATGTTTGTTGATAGTTAATAAGCGCCATTTCTAAAAAAAGGAAGGCTTCTTTCAAACCAGCTTTACCATTTTTTTTTGCTTGTTCATAATCTTTTCTCAGTTCCTCAATAGAAAGAGCCATTATAAATCTTTTCTTTTCTTTTCCCCTTCTTTCTTCTTACAACAACCAGAATATTCCAAAGAAAAAATAAAACAGTCCCAAAGTTATCAATCAGTCCCAACCAAGGCAGAGTTCTCACTTTCTCCTCCTAGGGTAGTATCAATCAGAAAAAAAGAAAGTCCAAATCTGTTTCTTAAAATCTTATTGCAATATATTTTAGTCTTTCAATCCTTAAGGCATCTCCTCCAACAAAGTCTTAGCATACAAATATTTTTTTTTTTTAGTTCTCTCTTTTTCCACTCATCGCTCAAAGCCAGTTTTCACCTAAAAAAAATAGGTTTCTTAATATTCACTTTTTATTCCGTAGGAAAAGAGGGTAAGCTTTCCTTCAGCACCATCAAACTGCCGCTTTTTTCTTCTTCTCGAAGGTATCATTCAGAAAGTCATACTTTTCAGGAATTTTGTTAAATATGTCTTAGAGTCCTAGGAACCAAGAAAAACTTTCTCCTATCAAACACTTTCTCCACTTCCTCCTGCGCATTCTTACCCGGCTGCCAGCTTCTTTGTGGCGGCCATTACGGACCGCCGCTGCACCGTCCTGGGAAAAGGGGGTTCTGCCGGCTGGGGAGGGGGTCTGCAACACCCCCAAACCCCTCTCCGGATCCCCCCTACCTTCAGCTGCCCCTGCAGGGCAGCCTAGCTCCGTACCCGTCCGGATCGGAGCCCCAAAAACGGCTAGCGCGGCAGGGATCGCGCAGCTTCGCGAATCCCTACCACTCGCGAAGCCGACAAACCGGAAGTTTTTTTCAAATGATGGGACTATCTTGTGAAACTGGGCAATCCATGTTCATTTTACTAAACTGGAAAGTGGCTTCCATTAATCACCACATATGAAACGAATTCCAGCCTGCCAAATCATGGAATCAGAAGACTAGCTTTTTGGATGATTAATGTTACCTTCTGTATCTACCTGAATTAATGATACCTTCATACAGTTACACTGCTACAAGTGTTCAAGTTTTTCTCCATGCTCCTAGCATTTAGGAACATTAAGATTCTGTAACTAAAGAAATTTCATGCTAAGCTATTACATAGGAGATATTAGGAGGACGACAAATATATTTAAAGTTGGATGTTAAAACATGGAAGAGAACATCTGGCTTGGAGCCTATTGACAAGGATGAAAAGGGCCCCAGGATTTATTTTCCAGTTTTCCATGAGACCATTGCATTCTAAGTAAGAGATTGCTTCCTTCCACTCATTTTACCGTTAATTAAAAACAATAACAGCACAATGGCAATGTGCATGCCTAAAGAGGATACATCATCTATGAACCTGTAATGCAGTAATAAATGCATAATGCCTTAAGACCCTCAAAGAACAAAATACCTCAAACTCAAACCGATAATGGATTACATTATGAAGGGTGGAAAATACAAATCCTCATAGTTTTAAAAGTAAGGGGATGAGAATGAAATACTGAAGGAAACATACCACATTAAGTTTTCCTCAAGTTCTGCCAACCCTAACAAGTCTATTACACCATTTACCCTAACAAGTCTATTACACCCCCAGCTCACAACAGTCACTAGTATTGCAAGTGTAATTAATCATAAATGAAACAAGAAATAATTAAGGCTAACTAATGGATTCAAGTCATTTATTCCAAAGCAGGTTTTATTTCATTACTTCATAAGAGGCCCCAAAGTTTTCAATTTTTTTGTTAAGAACAAACATACGGATAGATATACTTAGCATAGGTAAAATGGGATATTATATTAGCAGCCCTCTGAATATTATTCCTGAGATTCTTCACCTTTTGGTTTAGAAAAAGCAGCTGTGGATAACCCTGTTGAATGTGGAACTCCATCATTGGAGAAAGAATAGACAACCTCTCGGAGTCATTTTCCCCCCAATGAAAATGAATTTCTCAAAATTATACATTATTTCGATATCAAAATGTTTTAAACTTATATTCTTGGGGCTTTATCACTTCCTTCCTCTCCCAGTTCACTCCTCTCTCTTATGAGTTTGGCCTAAGCCATTCAGGTATTTA